ACCCTAACATGTGGTCTGTCTTTGAGAATTACCCATGCGCACTTGAGAAGAATGTGAATTCTGCAGTTTTGGGGTGGGATTCTCTGTAGATATCTATGAAATCCATTTGATCTAGCGCTTCATTTAGAGTCTGTGTTTCCTTATTAATTTTTTGTCTAGATGATCTATCCAGTGATGTCAGTGGAGTATTCAAGTCCCCTGCTATCATTATATTGCTGTTGATTTCTCCTTTGAAGTCCTCCAGAGGATTTTTAATATGTGTTGGTACTCCTATATTGGGTGCATATATGTTTACCAAGGTTATATCTTCCTGTTGAATAGATCCTTTCAATATTATGTAGTGGCCTTCTTTGTCTCTAGTTATGGTCTTCATTTTGAAATCTACTTTATCAGATATTAGTATTGCTACCCCAGTTTTTTTTCTTCCCATTTGCTTGAAAGATTGTTTTCCATCCCTTCACTTTCAACCTATGTGAGTCTTTTGTTGTGAGGTGGGTCACTTGTAAACAACATATACCTGAGTCATGCTTTCTTATCCAGTCAGCTACTCTGTGTTTTTTTATCAGAGCATTCAAACTATTCACATTTAAGGTGATAATTGATATGTACTTATTTATTGCCAATTTTGTTTAGTGTTGTTATATTTTTCTTTCTATTTATTCTACTAATTACAGCAGTTCTTTTAACATATCTTGCAGTGCTGGTTTGGTGTTAATATATTCCCTTAGTTTTTTTTTTTTTTTTTTTTTTTGCCTGGAAAGCTCATTATTTGACCTTCTATTTTGAATGATAGCCTTGCTGGATAGAATAGTCTTGGATTCGGATCCTTGTTTTTCATGACCTTGATTACTTCATTCCACTCCCTTCTGGCCTGTAGTGTTTCTGTTGAAAAGTCAGCTGAGAGCCTTATGGGGTTTTGTTTGTAGGTAACCTGTTGCTTAGCTCTTGCTGCCTTTAGGATTCTCTCTTTGTCTTTAAATTTTGGCATTTTGATTATTATGTGGCTTGGTGTGGGCCTGCTTGAGTTCTTCTTACTTGGGGCTCTCTGTGCTTCTTGAACTTGAATGCCTTCTTCCTTCACCAAGTTAGGAACATTTTCTGTCACTATTTCTTCAAATATATTCTCTAACCCTTGCCCATTTTCTTCCTCTTCGGGGACTCCTATGATACAAATGTTATTATGTTTCCAGTTGTCCCACAGTTCTCTTAAGCTATCTTCCTGGTTTTTAATTATTTTTTCCTTTTGGTTTTCTGATTTGTTGATTTTTTTCTACCCTGTCTTCTAATTCACTGATCCAGTCCTCAGCTTCCTCTACTCTGCTGGTTAGATGTGTTGTAATGTGTTCTTAATTTCTGCTATGTCATTCTTCATTTCCACTTGGTTAGTTTTCAATGTTTCTATATCTTTACTCATGGTGTTAATGTCCTTACTCATGCTGTTGAGCTTCCTCAAGAGCATGGCTCTGAAATCTACCTCTGATAATTTGCTTAACTGCATTTCATTGACCTCATCTTTGATAGAGTTCTCTTGTTCTTTCATTGGTGAAACAAAGAAACAAATTCTAAATGAAAGAACAAGAGAACTCTATCAAAGATGAGGTCAGTGAAACAAAGAAACAAATCCCAATTTTGGCTATCTCTTGTGTTTTGGAGCCTGCCAAATTTTCCTTGTGGATGTTGGTGTTCTGCTGTTTGTGGCTCCCTCTACTGGGTTTGGATGAGCCTGGGTGGGCCCACATTAAACAACACTGTCAAGTCTTACTTTCCTGTGTAGATTTGCAAGCCCAGGAAAAGTTCAGTTATCCTCTAGCTTTTTCCTGGAGGCTAGTTGTCTCAGTTACTCAGTGCCTTGGAATGTAGCCCTGGTGTTCTGCATAAGAGGATTTCCAGAGGGTGGGATAGATGCTGGTTGTTAATGAGCCTCAACTTGCATTTCTTTGCCTCACCTGGGAAAGGCTGAATCTCCGAGGGGAGTGGGGGGCGGGGGAGTTGCTGCTTTTCCTCACAGCTCTGGGAAAGAGCACAATGGCCACCATCCTTTGTGTCCGCAACTCAGCAAAAACTCTGAGTGCCCTCCAAATCCTAGGTGTCCCCACATAGTTCCAGCCCAGTCTGCCCTCCCTCCAGTGTAGCCCCCAGGTGAGTGACTGTGGCTATTTTAGAGCTCTGTCCCAGCTCTCTGCTCTGTGGAGTGAGCTTGGTCTTTATTCCCCAAGGGCACTGCTCACAGCTAAGACTGCTGCTGTCCCTGTGCTCCCAGCCCACCACCCTCTTGCACCTCTACAGATCCTGCCAGTGTCCCTGGTTATATGGTCCTGTCCTGCTGCTTTTCTCTTGCTTTTTTCTGAGGATATGTCTTTATTTTAGTTGTAATTCCCATTTGCTTCTGGGAGATTGTCTGCGTAGCTTCCATTCACTCTGCCTCCATCTTCACATCCTCTGTGCCTATCTTCTGTGCAGCTGGGTCACACAGGCCTCTCTGGTGTCCCCGCACCCTGCAGGTACCATGGGTAACTGGATCACACAGTCCCTTTGGGGACTGGGCTTTATGCCTATGTTATGGGCTGCTGGTTCGCACAGGCCTCTCAGGTGCTTCAGCACCCTGCAGGTCCTGTGGGAAAGTAGATTGCACCCTCCCTGGTGGGTTGCACAGGCCTCTCTGGTGCCCCAGCACCCTGCAGGTCCCATGGGCAGGCAGCTGGAACACACCAGTCCCTCTTGGGCCCTGGCTTCCCACCACTCTTGTGGGCTGCTGGGTCGCACAGGCTTCTCTGGTGCCCCAGCACCCAGCAGGACCCACGGGCAGCTCGATCGCACCAGTTTCTTTTGGGCTCCAGCTTTCCACTGCTCTTGTGAGCTGCTGGACCGAACAGGCCTCTGTGGAGTCCCAGGTACTGCAGCTGGTGGCTGGGGAGTGCTGCTGCCCTGGGGGGCTCGACTCCTGCTCAGCCTTTGCTGTAGTTTTTGGGGATGGGTCTCAGCTGCTGGTCTGTGCTTCTGTTGCCTGGGGATGGATGGCAGCTCCCCAGCTTCTGTTGCTGGGGGTATATCTCGACTCTGATCAGGCTGCTACTATGGGGGATGGTGCTGGGCTCCTGGCTGTCCGCAGCTTCCACCACCGGCACTTTGGCAGCTCCTCTACTATGCACTGGTCTGTGTTGACACAGAATGTCCACTGGTCCGATGGTGCCAGGTGCACTGGTGGGCTCATGTTGCTGGGCCCTAGCTGCTCCCACTGCATCCTCCAAGGGAAGACTTGGGATCTTCCAAAATGGTGGGACGTCCCTGTGGTGCAGGGAGAAGCACCCTGAAGGGCCTTTTACTGAGGTAGCTGGCTGCTCCCGTCCACAGTACAGGAACCTTCTGCTCCGTGGCTCTGCACTACTCCTATTTGGTCGTCCACATTGGCGTCCACTCACACTCTCTCACACACTCACCATCCCTCTGGTCCTGCCCGCTGCCATCTCTGCTTGTCCCCACCACAGACTTTTTTTCTTACATATCCTGGACAGCACTCAGCATGATCAGTATTATTTGTTTTATTATTTTTTCAAATTCTACCTGTTCTGGTAGTTTATTTGGTTGAAATCTATTATCTGTTGAATGCATTATTCCAATTCAGTTTGTCAGCATTTTGCTCAGAATTCGTGCATGTATTTTAATGAAATAAAAAAGCCTATATTCTTTCTTTCAATATACTAGTTACATTTTTACTATCAAGTTTTTGTAGTCCTCTTAAGATGAAATAATGTTCTCTCTTCTGTTACTTTCTGAAATAATTTATATAACATTTGTTTATTTTGTACATCAACATTGGGAAGAATTCACAAGAGAAATCTTAGTTTTCTATATGGAAAGGTTTTAGATCTAGATTTAATTTCCTTTGCAGACATTTGCTAATTTTCTAGGTATCCATTATTAATTTTTATCTTAATTTTACCATGATCAGAGAATACACTTTGTGTGACTCAAAGCCTTTAATTGTAATGAAACTGGTCTGTGTTAAATTTAAAAGAATGTACATATATTCTGCAGTTTTTGGTAACAGTGTTCTGTATATAATTTGGTCAACTTGCTGACTATTTATTTCAAAATTTTGTTTGCTTATTTCCCACTATCATTATGAATTCATGTTTTTCTTTTCAAAGCTGTTGTTGTTTCATATGTTTTAAACTAAATTTTAATCTCATACAAATTTAGAATTCCTGCATCTTCCTGATTGATTAGTCACATTATCACTGTGAAATGTCCCTTTTTATCACTGATCTGCTTCTTACCTTAAAATATAATTGCTCTGAATTGAGTACATGCTAAAACACCTTTTTTTGCTGTTATTGTTTGTATATCTTGCTTCATCTTGTAACTTTCAAATTTTGTTATCCTTTATATTTAAAGTGTTTCTCTTTAGAGTAGCACATAGTATTTTACTCCAGTTCATAATCTTTTTCTTTTAATAAGAGCATTTGATAGCTTTATGTTTGATGTTAATACTGATGTACTTGGGTTCAAATCTATCATTTATTAGTTAATATGTATTTGTCACATCTGTTATATGTGCCTTTATATCTCATTGCTTGTCCTTTTTAATTAAAATTTGCTAAATTATTATTTTATTTCTTTGCTTTATCAAATGTTCAGTTATGCATTTTACTGTTATTCTGAAGCAACATAGAACTCATTACCCCCTTTACTTCCTTCAGTATATTTTGCTATATGTTTTAATTTTATATTTTTTATTCAGTCTGGTTCTCACAAAACCCCTTTAAGATAATAAGTTCTCAGAATCTAGTCATTTTACTTTTTTATATGTTCAGTGGAACAAACCCATTGGATTTATTTTATTTGAATTTTAAATTTCTGTTTCTTTATAAACTTAAAGCAATTCACAAAATGTTTAAAGTGTAATTTTTACTTATTGTTTATATTGCAAAGTGGTTTTTAACTTTTAAAGGCGATATTTATAAGGTTCATGAACTATTTATATCCTTTTCTTTTAACAGACTTTTATTGGGGACATCCTTTTGCTTGTTAACCCATTCAAAGAGCTTCCGATTTATTCCACCATGGTGAGTACAGAATTTAAAATACCATTTAATAGTGTAAAGTAATGCTTACCAGACAAACCTATTTGTATCAAATGACTGATTAAGAAGGAAACCCATAACGATAGGTAAAAGGTAAAAGTGTTCAGAAAATTCTAAATTGAGTAGTTGCTTAATGATTCTCTTCATTATATTTAATCTTCAAATATTTTGGCATATAATTAACTCATAATAATATTTTTTAATGTTTTTAGAATTTTGAGTGATTTTTTTTGCATTTCATGTGTTGGTAATTTAAACCTTCTGTGACTTTCAAAAATTTGTTTGCTAGGAATTTATTAATTGTATTATTCTTTTCAAAGAAAACTCTTGACTTTAAAATTTTTTCTATTATTTATTTATTGTCTGTACAATTGATTTTTGCTGATTTTTGCTTTTCCCTTCTCTCTGCTTCTTTTGAGTTTAATTTGATAGCTGTTTAAGCTGTACAGTGTGTCTGACTTTTTGCCTTTTCTAAATCAATATTTGAGACTTTTTATTTTGCTTTAAGCACAGCTTTATGAAGTTCTACATCTTTGATATTTCATAATTTTATTATTATTCAATTAAAGATATCTGTTTCCTATGATGATTTTTTCTTTGTTTGAATTTTATAAAAATATAAACATACATTTTTCTATTTTCTACCTTTACTTCTCTTTAATCTACATTCTGGTTACTAGACTGTCTAGGTTACTTGGCTGACTAGGTTACTAATTCTCTCTTATGTTGTTTAAAATCTACAGATAAAACCATGTATTAAATTGTTCACATCAGTTGGTTTTTTTCAATATTAAAATTTTTATTTTCTACTTAAAGATTCTTGTTCTCTGGTGAAATTCTTTGTTTCACCACCTGTTTTCTTGAACATGTTAATGATTAATTTTAAAATATGTGCCAATAACTCTAACATTAATAGCTTGTTATAATCTAGTAACTCTAATACTACATAATCATAATTCTAATAATATCTCATGATATCTGGGTCTGTTTCGTGTGTGTGTGTGTGTGTGTGTGTGTGTTGGTTTTCATTACATGGGTGTTATTTACTGACATTCCTGGAAAATGTTTCAATACTGAACCTTTTGCATAAGTATTTATAGAGGCCTGGATGGTATTATCTTCTTCCAAAGAAGTTGTAATTTTTTTTTTGTGTGGTGGATAGATAAGGTATAGGCAGATGATTTTGACTCTGGTAAGGTTCTTTTACCTTGTGTTCTCCCTTATGCATAAGGAGGGTGCCTTTAAAGATCTCAGTTGAGAAGTTGGGATGATGTCCATCTAGGTTTGCCTTTGTTACTGAGGCCTGAACTTGAAATTGTGTCTTCCCAACAGGGTTAAACTGCGGAAATCTCTACTTACCTCTTTAGACACTTAGGTTTACTTTCTATGGGGCCTCTGAGCTTTGTTCCACAAAATGGCAACAAACGATGAGAACAACTTATGCAGAAGATTCTGTTCGGCTCAGTGCATTTTGATATTCTCCAAGATCTTGATCCCTTAAGTCCTAGCTGTTTGGTGATTTTTCAGAGGCCTCCAATTAAGTGTTTAATTTATATTTTATCCAGCTTTTACAGTTGTTCATGGAGAGATTATTAATGTGTTTCCAGGTCATTTATTACAGCTACAATAAAATAGGCTATTTCTATTTTTACTGCATTGGTGTCCAAAGATCATTTTAGTAAAATATACACTGATACAAAGTTAACAGAAAATTACCCAGTTTTAACAGGTCATTGAAACCTTGCAGTGTCTAGTGCTTTGGAATTCACATATGTTATGTAGAATCAAATAGTTTGTACTCCCCTGATCTATAAGTAACCACCCATAAAATTAGAGATATTAGGTAAGACATTAGGTAACATATTAGGATTTAATTTTTAGGTTGAATTAGTGGGCTTCCTGTGTAGCAATATTAGTACCTTGTAATAAAAATTAGCTACTCATGTACTGAACCATGTTTAAATTATCCCATTGCCTATGGATACACAAGAGAAAGTTTAATTTGTTTTTAAGTATCAGTTAATTAAATTTATGTGTATATTTATTGTTTTAAATGTTAAATTTCATTTAGTTTTATTTCTTCTCATGTTTTTTTAGTTTAAGAAAAAAAAAACATTGAATATGATCATATCTATAAAGATTATACAAACCAAGAGAATGGCTTCTATGTTTCAGGTTGGAAACAAAGGTCCAGATCTACCATCTGTGCCTTTTATTTTGTTACCAATACTATTAACTGTGTTATATTAAGCCTTTGCATATGTTCACTTCTTACATAGCAGGTCAGTAATCATGGATGTAGAACACCCTTTGTGGCAAACTTGATTTTGAGACTGATATAAACACATGCCAACAAGCAGCCCTGCCCATTAGGGGGCTTGGTGCCCTAAGCAGCGTTGATCTGACGCTGACAGTCGCCGGGAGACGTGGCGCTGAGCCGCCAGTAGGCAGACCATTCTAAATGAAGTATACCCAACAGGGAAAGGTTTGTGGTCATGCTGCCTATTTATGCTGAAGACAAGTATCATCACTCATTTTAAATATGTTAAGAGGGAGGGGAGAAGGAGGAAACAGAAAAGTAGCCAGATCTTTCTGAATAGGTTTTACAGAAAATAACCTTGTAATCAGGGACAAGGATGTTTTATAAAACCAACAAACATTTCTTTAGTCTATTAAATATAACATGTTGTGTTAGATATTTAGGGATGCTGGGTAAGAGTCTCTTTTTCCTTAAGAATTGCATAGATATTCTAGAAGCAAAATGCAAAAAACAAAAAAATATAAAATTAAAAGATAAAAAACATCATAGACTTCACTTGTAGCTGAGGACAGAAAAGTGCCTGTATTGGGGGTTGTATACCATTAATTGACATGTGAAAAGGTTAGAATGGAAGGAAGTTTTAGGTTAAGAAAGGCATTTACATGGAAATGAAATGTGATTGGGGCAAATCTTAAAGCATGAGTAGGATTCTGAGGAGGGGAAAGGGAGTGTATTTCGGAGAACTGTCCAGAAGAGCCACATCGTGGAGGTGAAAAAATATAAGGCTATTTAGAGTTCAGAATGTGGCCAGATCTGCAATCTCCTGGCAGTTTATTAAGAGTATCATGCACAATAGAAAATAGGAAGGAATTGATCTATAAAGAAAGGCTTTATGTATGGGAAACAAAGACTAGAGATAACCACAGATGAAGATGATGTAATGTCATCTCCTTCATAACATAAAAAAGAGCACCTAAAATTTTCACTGACCAGATTCTCTGTTCCCAAATGATATAGATCGGGAGAGAACAGGGTGATGCAGAGAGAGGTGGCCTGTGGGAAAAGAAGTGTCTTAACCCTGCTGATATTTGCTGGACCAAATGAGAATGAGCAATAATATTGATAAAGATAATGATAATGATAAGCAATATAAAGTTACGCCCTGGCCAGTTTGGCTCAGTGGTTAGAGCGTTGGCCTGTGGTCCAGAGAAACCCGGGTTCAGTTCCCGCTAAGGGCACGTACCTCAGTTGCAGTTTGTCTCTGGCCCTGGTTGGGTTGTGTGGGTGGCAGCCCTTTCACGTCGATGTTTCTCTTTCTCTCCCTCCCCCTCCCTCTCTATCTGAACAAAAATAGAAAAAAGTCCTCCGGTGAGGATAAAAAAAATAAAATAAAAAAATAATATAAAGTTAGATGGCTTGTCATCACTCAGAAAACTAGAACTTATGTAAGTGAAAATTTTCAAGGTATGATAGAAATAATTAAATAGAACATGGTATCATATTAAAATTATTTCATATTTATATTGCTTATAAAGGATAGAATTAACATCAAACAAAATATTATCAGGTGGGAGCAATGGACTATTCTTCAATAAAATCTCTAAAATTGTATGAAAAGGAGATTTACAAGAGAAGATAAGTGAAAAAGTTTACTAGTTTGGTTATCAGGAGAAAAACTTTATTTAGACACTCCAAATCCACTGCCACACCTAATTTCTAGTAAAACTTAGCCTGAAGAGAATAGGTAAACCCAAACAGATGTGAAGAGAGAAGAAACAGAGGAAGAATGTGGATGCACTCAACACACAAGTAGTCTCGTATATGCTCCTGGGTCTCTGGGTCTCGCTTTTGTTTATAACAGCAAATGAAATCCTCTGCAGAATGTTACAAAGCAGGTTAGTTTAAAAGTATTTTGTCAGAATTGGATTAGGTCTGTGTTGGACTTGGGGAGAAGTGAAAGAGTGTTGGTGCAAGTTTTCCAAAAGAACAGAAATTTGTCCTAAAAGAAAATAAAGCTGAGTGACATCTTCCTAGTGGGTTTATGAATTATAATGCATGCATCACTAATATTCAAATGGCTTCAATATTCATTTTTAATTCACAAATAAATCAAAATACAAAAAGTTCAAGTATAATACCATAGACGACTGTGGGCACATCAAATAATTGATGGCATTTGTGGCTGAATTTATCCTCTCTACCAGGATTATCAGAGTGTTTGGGATTCTACAGAATGGATGCATGTTCTGGAAGATGTTACCAAATTTTTCAAAGCTGTAGTTGGTAAAAATTTATCTGATGAAGAGATATCTCAGCAATTGAAACAGTTGAATTCAGTTCATCAAGAAACTTTCATGAATTGCTTGAAAATATAAAACGTGAAATTAACCAGGCTCTGTTAGAAGAAATAGTTGCTTTTTCCTCTCTGCAGGTACAGGGTTTTGATTGGCAGTTGAAGCTCACAGTGTCTTGTGACAAGATTGCTATATTACAACCGCAGCTTTTAAACCTTCATCTAGGTGTAAAAGAAAACGGTGACATCAAACCACATTTTGTTGAAATAACTGAGCTGCAGACTTTAATAAGTCCTTTGTAAGCAGCTCATAAGGTCATCCTGCGGTTGAAATAACTGGAAACAATGAATACCACCAACATTATGAGATTCCACTGCTATAACTGATACGACATATGAATACTATATGTTCAGGAAACCTGCAATATACTACAATGCCAAGCTGAGAAAGCAGCCGAGTTGTGATTACAAAGATAAAAATGTATTCAGCTTCCCTAAAGAAAAGGAAATTATGTGATTGACAGGAAATCAAGCTCCACCACTAACTAGCCATGTGACCTAGGCCCCTTTGCTAACTTCTTTGCATTGATTTCTTTACCTATAAAAAGGAAGGTTTTCAAGCCCAAGTCATAGCTTTCTGGGAGGATTAAATGAGTTAAGTATAAAATGCTGAGAACAGTAGCAAGCACATAGCAAGTGTAAGCCTTATTACTATTATTAAACTATCTTTGATAAAGATGCCAATATTTATGTGTTTAAAATGGCACCTCCTTGGCTACCAGGGAGTTTCTGCATCTTTTCTCATATTTATTGGCCATTCTTTTCCATTTATATTCTTTGCCAATTTTCCTTTGATTTCCAGTTTTCTCATTGATTTTTAAAAATCATTTAGAAAATACTGATAATTTATTGATTATATGAACAGCTTATTCTTCTCTCTGTCTTTGCTTTGACTTTTAATTTTAGTTTTTATTTTTATTTTTGTTAATCCTCACCCCAGGATATTTTTCCATTGATCTTTTAGAGACAGTGGAAGGGAAGGAGGTTGGAAGAGAGAGAGAGAGACATTACTGAGAGAGAGACATTGATTGCTTGCCTCCCGCATGACACCGACCATGGCCAGGGATTGAACCTGCAACCCAGGTACAAGCCTTGACTGGAATTGAACCTGTGACCCTTTGATCCTAGGAATGATGCTCTAACCACTGAACAAAACCAGCCAGGGTGACTTTTAATTTTATTATTATAGTGTTTATGGTTGCACAGGAGTTGTTCAATGTAATGTGAGATTGACCCAGCATTATCAACATAATTGACCCAGCATTATAAACAATAATTACCAACAATGATTGACCCATCATTGTTTGTGACCCTTATTTCCTTACCTAAATCATGAGAGCACTATTCAATATACTTGTCTAAATCATTTAAGTTTCACTGTTCATATTTGGGACTTAGATTCATCTGGGATTTTTTTCTTACACGTGGCATGAGTTAGAATTCAACGTTTGTTTCCTTTTCAAACATGTGGTCAATTTTCTCAACACCACCCTCTACTATACTGGAAGTGATGCAGAACCCTGTATACATCAGTTCCCCACCCTGCATGTGTGAGTCAGTTCTGCAGTGTGTTCTAGTGATCTCTTTCTCTAGTATCTGCACCTCAACCACAGTCTTCAATGACTTTTTGAAATTTTTATCGAGATACAGTGCATGTGGGCAAGTGCTCATTTCTAAGTGTGCAGACAAATACATGTGCGTGAGCGCCAGAGGCAGGTCACCAGCGCTCCAGAAGCCTCGTTCCTGCTCCTTTCTAGTCACTGTTGACACCTGGCCTGAGGTGCTGCTGACATGACGACTGACAGCGTAGATTCATTCCATCTGTCTTTCTACTTCATATACATGGATCTTATAGTATGTCCTCCTGTGCATCTGATAGATTCTACTCAACATGATGTTTGTGAGATTCATCTAATTATGTCTTATAATAGTAGATCATGTATTCTACTTTTAAACATTCTTTTCCCTTGCCCTGGCTGGTTTGGCTCAGCGGTTAGAGCGTCTGACTGTGGTCTGGAGAGACCCCGGTTCGGTTCCGCTAAGGGCACGTTATCTCAGTTGCAGTTTGTCCCTGGCCCTGGTTTGGTGGTGTGGGTGGCAACCACTCGATGTGTCCCTTTCACGTTGATTTTTCTCTCTCTCTTTCTTTCCCACTTCATCTGAACAAAATATCAAAAAATGTCCTTGGGTGAGGATCAAACACACACACACACACTCAACATTCTTTTCCCCAATAATTTTAAATAACTTTAAACTTAAGGAAAATTTGCAGACAAATAGTACAAACAGCTTTTTTCCTCAACCACTTTCAAGTCATTTGCTGGCATGTTGTCCCACCAACGCTGAAGATGTGTACCGTGCGTTTCCTGCAAACAGAGGCATTCTGCTATCCAACCGCGTCCAACCATCAAAGCAGGAAGTTACTGCTGACACACCGCTGTCCCCTGATCAGAGGCCTCGTTCAGGCCTGTGCCATTGTCCAATCATGGCCAGACAGCCGGGATCGGGCCACCACTCGGGGCCCCTGATCCCCCAGGCTCTTGAATCTTCAATCTGCAGCAGTTCTTCAGTCTTCTGTTCAACTTCCCCATCTTCAAGGCTTTGAAGAAACAGGCCAGTTATTTTGTAAAATAAAAATTGTTTTCCTGATATTTCTTTCTGCCTCAGAAGTCTTCTCTCATTTATTCACATGTGTATGGATTCATCAGAAACTGCAAAGGACTTAAAATACTGGCAGTGAATCACCATGGCAATCATCATAAATCACTGTCACTGAAATTAAGTTAATTAAAATTTTGTTTTCCCGAGAAATTTATAAATTCATATGCGTTTCAGTGGCAACTGCCTTCTACTCTAATTAAAAATCCTTTCTGTCTTTGTGACTGAAATGAGATATTGCTGAGAAATTGTATTTGATGTAAATTATCACAGTTTCGGTATACTTCATGGTTGAACTGGATTTTTGTGAGTTGCTCTTCTTAAAGACAGCAGGATAATTTAAAGCCTGTGAAAACTGGTAATGAAGGATCAAATAGAAGCCTCCGTTTTATCATTACGAATGCTTAAAATGTGCTGAGAAGGGCATCATTTAACAAACGTTTTGTAGTTACAAATGAGGTTCAGGATTTGAGATGAATTCAGTTTCGTGTTTTGGAAGTAAGCCAGCTGAGTCCAAGTGTCCTGGAGCCTTTTCACAGAGATGCCTGTCCTTACGCTGCTCTGTCCCTAGGTCTCGCAGTTGTACCGGAGCGGCGCGGGGCAGCCATGCTCTCTGCCGCCTCACATTTTCTCCTGTGCGGAGAGGGCCTTCCACCAGCTGTCCCAGGAGCAGCGACCCCAGTGCTTCATTCTCAGGTACACCCACGCTGCACCCCATCCTGGGGCTTGGCTGCAAAATCGCCATCGTTTCTTATGGTTTCCATCTGTTTACTTCCTCAGCAGGTTGCAGTCCAGTGTATCTTTACAGTAAGTACATGTCACTCCTCACAAAGGAGGAACATCTCTGTTGTTGGAAATAGCTCCAGTGTGGCTGAATGTATGTCAGCGAACTTAACCTGCAACGCAGTCCATTTTAAAGATGTACATTTATGAACCAGAGGGCGTCTGCTTCCAAACCTTAGAGCACAGGGGCAAAGAAAGGCACCCCATATTACTGAACCTGTTCCACAGTTCTCCAAAATGTGGTGCTGCCCCAAAACAAATATAAAAATGATTAGCTTGTAAATGTGGGTTTTTTCACCTGCTTCTAGGTATTTACCTTTGCTCATATTTCACCAAAATTATACACTGCAAAGTATTTTTCATTGAAATGCAATGGTAACATTAGCACATAAATATGAAGATGCTCAGGAGGAGGATTTACATTGGAGCAAAAATTCTCCACACGCACACACACACACGCACACACGCACGCACACGCACGCACACACGCGCACACACACACACGCACACATACACTCCACAGAACGAAGCTCAGCTGTCCTCACAGCCAGACACCAGTGCATGTCTAGGCCCTTCCTGCTCTCCTCAGGAGGCCAGACCAGTCTCCCCTAAAATTATGGCCACAGATGCACGGATTTACCTTAATTCTTGTTGAATCCACTTAATTTTGTGAAAGATATTGGTCCTTGGCAAAGCTCCGAGGAGCCAATGGTGGCACATCCTTTGGAAGTCTGCGTGTTCTAGATAGAGATCAGTGTCTAGCAGGTTTTCAGTCAAGATACTTGTAATGCAAAGATTTCTACGTGTGTTGCTCATGCAATTCTTGTTTTTCTGTAATGCTCTACAGAACTAGAATTTCTCTGGGACATTTTTTGAAGGCTAAGATGCCATGTGTCAACCACGTATTCTGAAAACGAGGATTTCTCTATGAAGTTTCAAGAGGGTGTCACTTAGTCGTGGTGTCCAGAATTGAAGAACAAATTTGTGGTCACAAGGACTTATTATTATAGTCATGCTCTGTCTTCTCTCAAGATTTGCTTTTATGTAGCTTCTCTACCTCCTTGATTATCTTGACTAATATGAAGACTTTATGCCTTTATAACTGTATTATTACATTTATAATACATTAAAATGAATAAATTTAGGACTCAACTAAATACACTGCTTAAAGTTCACTTATTCAATGTCTGTTGTGTCCCATAACTAGCATATGCAACAGACAGTTAAGATTTGGGGATCACGACATAAATATTCCTGGAATAGATGTCCTGTAACTCAGTGCTAGGCCAAAACATTCTTATTTCCAAATTTTAATTTTATTCCTCATTTTGTTGGTAGTGCTAGGCCCCAGTGGCACACTAAGCTTCATCTTGAGAAAAGGTTTTAGATGATTTTTACATCTTTTTCCTGAACTGTAACTGAGAATTTGGAGTCCACCAAACCTTTGACTTACCTTTGACTTCCGAAAGGCCTTATGAGGTGGTTTTAATTGATTGTTCGAACATCTGTGGCGAATATCCATTATCCTAACTATATGCTGAGCAAATCTAAATTAATCTCTTTACTGGACACGCAAGTAGCCTGTGAGATAGCAGTATCGGGTCTGCCTCTGTCGTGTACAGATTTCAAATAGGCTTAAGCATTCTTGCGGGCCCTGATGGGCACAACCCCAACTCTCTGGTCAATTCTCGTTTAATCATAGACTTGGATTTTGAGATTAAAAAATGTTTGTGAAGAGGATAAAGTAGAAATTTTAGTTTTAACGTGATTGCCTATGGAGCCAAACCTATCCTAAACCAGTTCTCTTTTCTTCTATTTCCTTGTATTTTACTCTGTATAAATGAAATGTGGCCATTCTGAGATGTTATGAGATGGTTAAAATGTGTTTGATTTTAGTTATTGCTTTCCCTGCGCCTAACCTGGCAATCCAGGGAGTGCCGTGGTGGGAACAGAGAGGGGGACTCGGTGCCCAGTCGCCCATACCCACACAGGCCCCGGGCTCTTCGTGTTCAGAGACTTTCGGCCTCACTCACACTCTGCACTCACCACCTGTCTCAGGTTGCTTAATGGAAGCTTGGGACATGTTTATTAAATGTTTAATGCTACCTTCCATGTTACCCCTTCTCCAAGGATCAGCTCAACTTCCGCCTCAGCCAGGAGTCTTCCCAGGTTCCCTACCTGTTCCTTCACCTGGGGTGCACTGCTTGCTGCGCCCCCTGCCTGTTCCAGTTATACATTGTTTGTGTACTTGGAATTTACTTGAGAGTATCCCTGGTAGTTCACACAAGCACCTGTGTACCCCTGAAACCTCTGGCATATAGGAGGCCCTCGGTGGCTTTCATTTGAAAGAATGAGCAATATTTTAAAAAGGAAAATAGCATTTTCAAGATTTATCCCTGAGGGAATGCAAGCAAAATCTCATAAAGAAAGATTCATAAAACATCTAATTATTTTGCTAGGTAATAGAATTTTTCTAACAGTACATATAGCTGTAGAAATTAAATTTTCATCATGAAAGATCTAGATTGTTTCTTCTCTGAAACTGAAAGGTTGAAAGAAAAGGCCTTTGAACCCAGAAAAGAAGCTGCTTCTCTCGGGCCGTCACTGTCACCTGCTCTGCTGAGGACGTTTACAGTCCACGTGGATGAGGGGACTGTAGGAGCATTTGTTAACAACTCGAGACCTGGATAAAACAATTCAAGTTCACCTTCTTTTCTGGCAAACACCCTTTACTCAAATTTATTAGGATAGAAGTTCAAGGGAGGAACCTGAGAAAATCCTAGTAAAAAGCTGTATATATATTTTTAATTGTTTAACTAGTAGATAAAAGACTCTTTTTATGAGCATTCTATCTGGATGCAATAAAAACTTCATTTCCTATCAGACCACATTGGTATCGTAATCGTATTGGAATTTCATGTTAATGCTCTATCATCTCATTTCAGAGGTGTAATATAATTATTATTTATAGGAATTAAGTAAGTTACGAAGTATGCCTGGGAAATATAAGAAACGTTGTCATGAAAAATACCCAGTTGGTGAGTGCTTGTTCCAGGGTGGCGGCCAACGGGAAACACGAGCTGTCAGAACAGACAGCAGCCTCGAGAGGAAGCGGCCCTCGGGGCTGCTGAGCGGCGGCACTCGCTCACCTCTGACCATCTGAGCAACTCAGTTTTGTTGGCTGCAGGCTCTATATTCATTCAGAAGAAGAGAGAGGGAAAGCTCAGAGAGATGTAGTGACATTTCCAGGGAAGATGCAGTGTCTTTTCTGGAAAGTGCAAAAGGATGTCCTGAGGCCCGGCCATGTGGCTCCAGAACTCACGCACCTCCAGGGCAGAGGGCTGCCAGCTTGGCTCCGCCTCACGTACTGTCGCTTACAAAGCTGAGGACACGATTCGAGTGTCTTTCTCATCTGCCTAATGCCTTTCTGCTGTAGTTCACCTACTTCCCGCGGCCCTGCTGTAAGAGAGTGGATGGCAGAGGCTACATCACGTTCATTTGTGGTCCCAGCATCTGAACACCGTAGGGTGCCTGGTACAGTAGACATCGCTAAATATTTTGGATGATGGAATCAAATTAAAGAGTAAAACTATATCATAAACTCATTAAAAGTTAGGTTATTCCCTACTGCCGTTGTGTCTGAGAATTATCTGTGGTTATTTATTTTTTACTCCATTTTCCAAAGCAGTAAACTTGTGTTTTTTCTCTGTTTTCTTTTTAGTGGAGAAAGAGGGTCTGGAAAGACCGAAGCCAGCAAACAAATAATGAGACACCTCACCTATAGATCTGGCACCAGCAGGCCTATATTTGATTCCAAATTTAAACATGTAAGTTTCTTGTTTGGCTTGGAAAATATTTTGAGTCAAGAAAAATATCATTTAAAAATAAAGGGTGGCCCTGGCTGGTTTGGCTCAGCAGTTACAGTGTCGGCCTGTGGACCAGAGAGTCCTGGGTTCGGTTTCTGCTGACCAGAGAGTCCCGGGTTCGGTTTCTGCTAAGGGCACGTACCTCAGTTGCAATTTGTTCCCAGCCCTGGTAGGGGTTGTGTGGGTGGCAACCAGTCGATGTGTCTCTCTCACATTGATGTTTCTCTCTCTCTCTTCCTCCCACTCTCCCTCCCGCTCTATCTGAAGATAAATGTCCTCAGGTGAGGATTAAAAAAAAAAAGTGACACTATAATATACCATATGTTTGACCGTAAGATGGAAAAAAATTGAGACTTGGTATAAATTCATATTGTTCAAGTAAACTTTAATTTTCTTGTATATATTTAAAAATATTTCAAACATGCTCTCTTCACATTTGCTCAGAACAGTTGGATTGATAACACATAATTTAATTAAAGGTTGTTGACTGCATAGAAAATGCCACTTTGGTGTGTAGATGCATTTAGCAGAGTTGACCCAATCGGCACCCTTGGGGGTATTACTGAAAATGGATAATAAAATTTCAATATATGTATAAGAATTGACAACAGGAAACCTTAAAGGTATCAATGAGCAGAAAGTAAATCTTCAACTCAGGCCAAAAAAAAACATTAACTATATATGTCAAAAATTATGTTCAATTACTCAAATATACAAGAATAATATAAGTTTTGTTAAAAATAAGTTGTCATGCTCTATATGGCATGCCAGAAAATGATGTCCCTGTGTGCTATATCATTTCCTTGATCAAAAAGCACTTCCCACATTGTAGGCTGTGCTGTACCAGTGCACATGTTCTTGGAGCATATTTCCAGGTAAGGCGCTGCAAATGTAACGACACAGTCTCAGAATCACACAGCTTGCTCCTCCAGAATCCCCCCTGCACAGGCCTCACTGCACCCACCTTTTCAGAGTGATACCTCCATTTCATTCAGCAGTTGTATATTTAAACATGTCCTATCACATTGGAATAAAGACAGTTGCTATTATCTTAGATCATTCCCTAAAACAGCGCCATCTACAGGTTCCAACACTAAAACTCTAGAAATGTGTTGCCAATGAATATTGTGCTTTGTGTTTGTTTCACTTGCTGCTTTCACCTAGTGACTGAGGTCAGAGTTATTTCTGTCATGCTATTGTTTCCATAGGAATATTCTGGAAATTTAATATTGAATTCCTTATGTAGAAATGAGAGGAACTTACATTTACTTGGCGGATTAACATTATTGCCTTACATTTTCTACTTTTGAATAAGAAGTACTTAAAAAATTAAATCTGCTTTTATAGATTCCCAAGCATATGCTGATTCTGGAGATTTTTCTCTCTAAGAAGAATATATAATAAATCAATACTGCAGTGTAGCCATGATAGCATGTGTTCATTAACAATTTTACTTCATTGCCATGTATTAAGCTTGACCTATAAATTAAGCACCTGTATAATTCTATAGCATAGTTCAAAATAATTTAACATTTCAGGTTGACTTGGACAGAAAAGCATAAATTATCTTTTTTTTGTTCAAATATTACAATATGTTGACTACTCACGGTTAAGGATTAAAGAATGTATAAAGCAACAGTTATAAATAGATTCAGGTTAAGTAATAGAATAACAGGATCTATTGGCTTAATTATAATGACAAGAAATCATAGTCCCAATGGTAAATTATAGACTAAAACAATAATTTATTAAAATGATCCTTTGAGAAAGAGCAGGCTATGTAATTTCTAAAATGCATTCTACATTACTTTATGCAAATTGGCTTTGCATTTTAGCTCGAGTGAAGACATTCCAAGTTGCATTTCTTTGGATAAGATAGATTTAGCTCTTCCAGAATTAATTAGAATCTTGGCATACATATTATACTATCGATGCAAATTTTAAGTAAAACTTTCCAATTCATATTTCTTCATCCATTGCTCATTGCAAATTAGGGATGTCATAAATAAGTGATTTATAGTCTCATCAAATAATATTTCCCAGGTTTGAATGTGGCTTAAATTTCATGTCTATTGTGCTCTTTTTGCTTTTCCTTTAAATTGTTATCCACATGAATATCATTTAGTGTCCAAAACATTCTTGAACATTACCCAGTTTTTCTGTGTCCAAGTGTATGTGTGGGAATTACATGCAAGCACTGGCTAAATTTATAAATCAACTGTAAATCTTTATAATATCACAGGAGTTCAGTGAGCTCATTTAAGAGATGAGCTACATGAAAGAAAAATCTGATTAAGGAGATGAGTAGAAGGAGCATCTGAAATATGGAGCTAGTTAGTAGAAGGCTTGATGTTCAGTGCAGAATGAGGTGTGAGGAATCGTAGTTGGATGGCCCTGAAAGGAGAGGGCAGTGGGCTGAATTAGAGGGCCAGTCCAGCCAGACTGGATGGTGAGACCTCCCTCTGAGGTACCACGCTAGCAGTCATGGGTATGATGCTGCCACAAGGGGTCGTATATGCAACTAACAAACACATAGTATCATCCATTGTACTGGGTGCGTCTAGCCCAAACAATTTTGCCCTGGATCTTAGTATAGTATGAGACAGAAGCAGTCTTGGAAGGTTATTCCTATCAACCATTACCAAAGAATACATGGTAAACGAGCTGTAGGGAAATATAAGAAAGGACACATTGGGATGGTCTTCGGCAGAGAATCGGCAGAGGCTGAGGAATAGAGAACATTTTCCTTGTAGTTTACATAGAAGGCTTAATTAAAGATTTGTAAATTAAAGATTATAATATGGAGTGTGGGAGGAAAAAGGCGAAAAGGAATGGGTTTGGGAGAAAGCTGACCATTTATAAGTTTCATGTTGTCATGGTCAGCAGTACTCCCCATGAAGAGGATGCAGAGAGGAAGAGAAAGATTTAGTTGGTATCTGGGAGGCGAGGGGGAGCCCAGCACTGAGCTCCAGGGATGATGTTAGTAATTTTATGTAGGCACCACATGTATAGTTTGGGGACACCCAGCTGTGATATTACTGAATTTTAGTCTAACATTTCAATGGCCCCGTCTTAAAAGCTTTCTTAGGTTTACCTTCTGTCTCTGCTGTGCGTTTGAATCCTGTCACCCTTGCTAGTACTGTTGTTTCCCTGCGTAATTCCAAAACAGACAAACCCAGTTTAGAAAGCTCTTGTTTATAATCCCTGTACTTCGGTTGTAAATTGTGAAAGCAAGGGATTTTCCATGGTTTATTGGAACATAAAAATCATGTGGATATTTTTTTTTTTTTTTGGAGGGTTAGGGAAGGGATACTGCCTGAGACTTTTCAGTAATTCTGGGACAAATGAGTTTCAACTTTAAGGAACATTCAATTTCACTCAAAATACTTGCACATTTATTGAGCAACTGCTTTCACAGAGCAGAGTGATATGGTCAAATTGATTAAGCTATTATTTTGTACTGGGGGACCACAGATTTTTACTTTTATAAAATGCAATAGTTAACTACTACTATGATAATAATGCATAAGTTTTAGTGGTGTAATTATTAAAATTGTATAGGAAAACTATACCATAAAATGCGAATAGAAAAAATCATGCTAATAAAATGTGTAAGTACTGAGGAAATGTATCCTTAGTTCCCTTTGCCTCCATTTTTAATGTAAAGTTTTAGTACTGTACAACACTCATTGTTCTGTTTCAAAGTCAAGTTGAATGGTGAAATGTCTTTTTTTGTTTTTTGCATTTTTTTCAATATTTCTCATAACACATTTGTATAGTGCCACCTATTGGCCAAGTGGCTAATTAAAGATAAGAACCACCGGTTATTTTGAGTTTAGTATTTTAATCTTGTATTATGAACCAGAAGTGCATAATGAGAGAATGCCATGTAAGTATTTATATTTTGTTTAGTGGTTTTAGTTGTATGGCTTGTATGTACTATTTATTGTTATTCTAGCAATAATAGCCCTATGATGCAGTGATTAAACACATCAATTCCATAGAGAGATTGTTTGGGTTGAAATCCCAGCTCCAGTATTTACAAGCTCTGAATTTGGGGATACTTAATTTCTCAATTTTCTTTTTTGTAAAATAGACACACTAGTTGTGAGGATTAAAAGAAACATATGTATACACATACACATATATCCACACATACATGTTTACACATGTGTATATGTATAACTTTACATATATGCATATGTAATTTTATATACATAAATACATGTATAAATTTATATATAAGATAATATATATTCTATTATTAACAAAAATAAAATCAGGCACCAGTCTGAGGACTTTATACACCTGTCCCTTATAACCACCAAAGGCGTTATTCCTATATTAGAATGAAGAAAAATGAGGCTTAGGGAATTTAAGAAATTTACTCAGTGTGATATAAGTTGTCATTAGCAAAACTGGAATGTGAGGGCAGCTACTTCTCACTTCAGAGCACTTACATTGAATAATTACCCTATACTTCCAATTTGGGCACACGTCATTCATTATCTTTTATGTGCTTTTTCTATAATAATACAAATTTAGTTTATTATCAGATAAAACACCAAGAAAACTATAAGCCATAATATTTTAAAAAATGTATTTCAATCTTTTAAATGAATTTTTAAGCAATTGTTTAATGTAATAATATAAATGTTTCAAATGTGATATAATCACATTATTAATTTTATGATATATTTATTTAATGTTAAATTATTGTAAAAGAAGCAAAAATAGGACCTTCATAAATACTATTTCTAATTATTTTTTAGAAAACTTTTCTGCCATGATTACTATAATTCACTGATCTTTAAAATTAAGTTGTTACAAATAAACTTACATCACAGTTTTTGTAATGATGTAATATGTTTCTGTTCCACTGATCAAACTTCCAAAACAGATGCTTTAATGTATTTCACTATTATCACAACTCAGCACTTGATTAACATGTTTTGTTTCATAACCTTTCAACATATAAACTACTTCCAGGCAAATTGATCTAGCAGTATTCAGAAAATTTAAAAATCGGAGCAAAATTTTTAAAAAATTTAGATTAAAATTCTCAAAAAGATTGTCACCTGAAATTGTTATAGGAACCACCACCCAATGTTTCAATGAGGTATTATTGTGCTCCCTCTTGTGGCTTATGCCAGAACTGTATTTAACATTATTTGTATCTTGAAAGACAGAAAAACAATTTTGATCTTCCAGATTTTCATACTGTTTGGAGAATTTCTTGGTCATAATCATTATCACAGGCACAACGAATTATGAGAATAAATGGTGCTTGTTCTATAGTTAGTATTGAAATACGTCAAGAAAGAATTTCAGCCCTGGCTGGTTTTGCTCAGCGGTTAGAGCGTCTGCCTGTGGACCAGAGAGACCCGGGTTCGGTTACCACTAAGGGCACGTACCTCGGTTGTAGTTTGTCCCTCGCCTTGGTTGGGCCCTGTGGGAGGCAGCCACTTGATGTGTCCCTTTCACATCGATGTTTCTCTCTCTCCTTCCCACTCTATCTGAACAAAAAATGGAAAAATGTCCTCAGGTGAGGATAAAAAAAATTTAAAAAAGAATTTCAGGTGCCAGGTTGATCAGAGGAACTTTATAACTCCTCACTTCTGAAAGAACACGGGAATAAGAAGCACTTGGTACACCGCTTCATCTAGACTTCTTACTCTAGTTTCCGTGGGAGAGAATGGTTGGCGTGGAGCAGTACCAGGGTGAAGAGAGTGTACCCCAGGGGCTCAGTGTTGGAGTTGAAAGAAGGTTATAATCCAGTGTGTACGTGAATTTTTTTTAATTGTTTTTTTCTTTATTGATTTTAGAGAGACGGGAAGGGAGAAAGAGAGAGATAGAAACATCAATGAGAGAGAACTGCAACTGGTTGCCTCCTGCATGTCCCCCACTGGGGATTTGGTCCACATCCTGGGCATGTGCCCTGACCGGGAATCAAACCAGTGTCCTCTTGGTGTGTGGGTTGACACTAAATCACTAAGCCACACCAGCTGGGCAAATTTATTATTTTTAAATGATATTCTGATTATTGCTTATAGTAACTTTAATTTCTTCCTTGCAAAGCCACAACAGTGTACATACGTATGATTTTCTATTTTCACATTTTACCCATGTGAACATGTTCTACGCATATATACATACCTGTGAAAAAGTTGAATTTATAAATTAGGCACAGTAAGAGATTAACAATAAGCCCTGGCCGGTTTGGCTCAGCGGTTAGAGCATCGGCCTGCGGTCCTGAGAGACCCGGGTTCGGTTCCCGCTAAGGGCATGTACCTCGGTTGCAGTTTGTCCCCGGCCCTGGTTGGTTGTGCGGGTGGCAGCCACTCGTGTCCCTTTCACATCGATGTTTCTCTCTCTCTTCCTCTCTCCCCCTCCCACTCTACCTGAACAAAAAATAGAAAAATGTCCTCAGGTGAGGATAAAAAAAAAAAAAAGAGAGATTAACAATAATAACAAAATAAAACAATTATAGTAGTATATTATAATAAAATATGAATGTGGCATGATTATGTAAAATGAGCGTTACTTGACACGCACTTGACGCCCCCACAGAGGACTTGATAACCGGGGGGCTGCTGAGTGACTGTCAGGCACGCGGCGTAAGGTGCAGGGGCAAAGGGACGATTCATTCTGGGTGGAATGGAGGGAGGCGACTCAGGGTTTCATCATGTTGCTCAGAGCAGTGTGCAATTTAAAACTTGTGCATTGTTTATTTCTGAAAATTTCCATTTAATATATTTGAACCACTTTTGACCACTGGTAACTGAAACCATGGAAAGCAAAACCACGGATAAGGGGAACTAGTTTGCAGTTCTGGAGAGTGACCTCAAACATCCAGCATTTTGTTATGTGAACAATAGAGAACCTCTTAGATAACGGAGCAACAGTTCCCGTACCCTTGCTTTTGTTCTCTAATTTTATGTAAAAACAAACAAAAAACTGAGTAGTTCAGTAAACGGCTCTCTTTTACTACAGGCCATGTGCATTCTAGAAGCCTTTGGACATGCTAAGACAACTCTCAATGACCTGTCCAGTTGCTTCATCAAGTATTTGGAACTACAATTCTGCGAGAGGAAAAAACACTTAACTGGAGGTAAGTTTAAAATTATCAAAGGGAGGTCTGTCTCACTTGCTACCAGAAGAGGGCAGAGAAACACCAACTGTGGCAGTAACAGTAGATGTGCGTTCCTGTGTGTGTGTGTGTGTGTGTGTGTGTGTGCGTGTGCGCGTGCTCACCAGGCATATCTGAGACATTGGGTTAGGAGTTCTAAAATTATTTTGAATTATAAAATGTTTAAAAATATTTTGAAATGCAAGGTGAATCTTTTAAGATGATTATTGTATAAACTATATAAGATGGAATTAAACCAAAAAGCTGAAATGATTCATATTTGCTGAACATAGAAATAAACTTAGTTAAAATAAATGAAAATAAATTATAACTTGAGTATGTAATTTCTTCATACAACACACACTAAAATCTATTTGAAACAAAATGGAATCTATATGTTTAAAATTGCTGAATTAAAACAAACCAAAACATAAAAAATAATGACCCAGCTAAACACAAAGAGAACTGTTTTTTATTTGGTTTAAATATAAATATTTTATGGAAATTCCCTATTTTAAATTCAACTGACTTAGAATGCACCTAGAATTTTACATCTTTCTAATCAACACAGATTATCCATGCAAAGCAACAATGTAAGCACAATTGTAGGTGGAATGCCTAGTCCACTTAAGGAATCAGCTATTTTAAAAACTTTTATAATAGCAGTTAGCACACAAACATTAGCTAATTTTTGAAAGACATCAATTGTATTTGGCAATTTCATGTTACTTTATATTTCCTTCAGGAAATAAAAGTTAGTTTTGACCATAATTTATAAACAAAAACTGTATTTCACAGTAAGTATATGTCAAAATCAAATGTTTACTAAGTGAAATTTGGTTTACAAAAATATATATGCATAAAAGGGGTAAAAAGGGATACTTTTAGATGTTGAGATTAGAGGTTAAAATTATGCAATAGGTTTTTAGTTTTGTTTGTTTTGATTTTTGGTTTTGTTTTTAATCCATGGCTAAGAGCTCTGTTTGACGATCTACCAGAGGATCTCAGCAGAAGAATGTCTTGAGGCACAGATGTCTTTATGTCCTGGTTTTATGATGCCCAGTGAGATTGTCCTTCCAAGTGAAAGCCGTAGCCTGGACACTTTGTGACCCTAATTTCCCCCCGAGCTTCCAGTGCCCAGTGGTTGGAGCCAAAGAAGCGAAGGGGATAGGAAATTCTAAAAACTGTGTTTCAACCCATTGTCACTGCAAGATGTGACCCAAAGATAAGCACTGTGGGTGTAATTTGGAGCTTGTGAGAATGTAGATTCTTCAGCGTGGCTGCAGACTGGCGGATTAGGACTCTGTGTTCAACAGAATTCCAGGTTTGTGTGAACTCTGAAGTTTGGGAGGTGCTGTTCTAGCCCAACCCAAGCAAAGCTGGCCACTCATGTTAATGGGCAGATGCACAGAGGGGAAATCGCTGGTCTGGGTGTCACTCATGTGCCTTCTTTCCCCCTGTCCATTCGACACTGTTTACCAACGTCAAGATACAGTAACTGGCTCAGAAGGTCTTAGTCATTACTGATTTTGTTTGCTGTTTTTTCTCGATAGAATTTAGTATGTCCTCCTCTTCAGGAATGTTAATTTAGAAAATAATTGTACTGTATACACATATAAAAAAGAACCAGAAAACGATGCAGTGAGCATGTAAGCTTGGAGCCTTGTGGTAATCAGCAGTCTGTTGGCACACAGTCCCACACAGCTTCAACATGCTCAGATCCACAGGTACCTCTCACGGGGCTTCTGCAGGCAGCACACTGTGACACAGCGATGATAAATATTCATGACGATGAACCTGAGGCACTTCAAGATTCTGAAATGCCCTAGGCATCGTTAAGGAGCGATGAGCATAATTTCAGTATAATTTGAGCATTGTGCACAGTTGACTTTGTTCTCCTCGTAGGAAAACAGCAATCCAGGCTTCCATGTAGGTAGGCGCTCTCCACCTTCCTCCACTTTCCACATTGTTTTCCCACGTTGTTTTTCTACTCATGCTGTTCTCCTAATTAGAACCCTTAGTTTGATTCTTATCGCCGATCTTTATTGGGTAATTTCTTCCCGTGTTCTTTTAAAATTCTGGCAAAATGATTTCATGGTAGTTTTCACGGTTTTAAAAAATTTAAGAATGAAACAACTACCAACAAATAAACGACGAGAGAAAGCAGTGCTAATTGAGACTGCATTCAAGGGAGCAGAATGCCTGGGCCCTCAGGGGCAAGGGAAGTCTGAAGAAGTCAGACCGGGAGCTCAGTTCTTTGTTTCCTGTGTTTAAGAGGAAAAATAAAGAATGTATTCAGAGCATGTGCGTCAGGAGAGAGAAAACGGAAGTGCCACGTATTCGGAGTGAGCTTCGAAGAAACGAAACACGCTGACACCGAAAAGGGAAAGACGCAGGGAAATATAACAAGTGTCTTCAAATATCTGCAACCGTGGGGGGTCATGAGCACCAAGATTTATTTTGCATCCTCGAAAAAGTTGGTAAAGGTCTCGGAGAAGGAATATTTTCACTTAATCACAGCAACTTTCTACCTTCCTTCCTCGTGATGGCCAAGCTGCTGGGTGCCTTCAAGCAGGATGAGAGAGCCCACACGTCCTGTGCTGACAATAGCCTGACCCCAGGGTAGGACACCTGGACTAGGTTACCTTGAAGGTGCTGCCTACCGCTCCACATTCTCTGAGTCCTAATATGAAGGACTCTGGTAGCTGCTGATCAGAGATTCTGCTGTCCAGTGGAATGAGCTGACAGCTCGTATTGTCTCCTGGTGCCTGTCAGCATAGAATAAGCAGGTCGATATGAGAATGCGATAACAGTGTATTATTGTCCAGAGCTAGAGGGATGTAAGTCCACTGATGGCAGAGATGCTGTCTGCCCTGGTTTACAGCAGGCCCGCAGTGAGCATCCGTTGCGTTAATGAATCTGAGGAACGGCATTGTAAAGGAACAATAAAGCGAAACAGTCGCTATTCAGTTCACGGAGGAAATTGCGGAAAAACAGTCATGAACTCATTCATGCCAACAAAGGACGTGTTACTGTGAGTGTGAAATAGATAAGAAAGGTCATCAATAATTAACTCAGGATTATTTTTTTAAATCAGAGCCAGGTTTTCTTCATAATTAGAGTTTGTGTATGCAAAGAATACAACTGTATTCTCTTTTCTTAGAGCACTTCATCACGTTGGAATGGGCACAGCAGGAATATGCTGAAGGGGTTACAAAGGGAAGAAGACCAGAGTCCACATGTAAAACGTGAAAAATAGTTGGCGGCTTATCTCTTCTGTGTCCTGAGGACACCTCCATATATTTAAGTGGAAATAGAAATTTACTTAACAGTTGGAGCCATCTCCCGATAAATATGCCAAGGCTACCTACTTGGTAAACTTGAGCCTTAGAGTTAACACAAATGAGATGGAAAACATATTAAGGCTTTTGCCTTGTCTTTTTTTCAAATCTTGATTTTAAAAACACATCAGAAGACAGTTTTTAGCTTCATCATTATCATCAGTTATCCTTAGTATTATACTCTCAGTTTGGTTTTCTTTTAAAGTTTCAGAGAGCTTTAATTGATCTTATCTTCTTTGAAGAACAGCATCTTCTGGCACAAACAGCCCGAGCTTTGGCAATAAGTCTCTTGGGTTTAAACGTCAAAAGAGTATGCAACAGAATTTAAATGAGGCAATGTTTGAAAAGAACCCAGCACAGTGCCTGGTATACAGTGGGGACTGAAAGTGGGGGCCCTTCCCTTTTGGAGTACACAGGGAACCTGGGACCTTAGTATCTTTTAGTCCTCATTTCCTGTTGGGGAAAGAGAAGTTAAGAGGCACTTGGGGACTGGCAGCACTAGATGCAGGATTAGTTCCCATACTATGACTCCTGGTTGATGCACCTTTTCACTTATACCACCCCAGCATTAATGATCATTAATAATGAAGTCAACAGAAATGCTAAGTGTGAAAGAACATTTGACTATATTATTTAATCAATAGCATGCTTTTTGTAGCTGCTAATTGAAGGCATGATGTGACTTTCTGGGAACAGGTCATGATTTATAACAAGATGAGCGGGGCAGGGTGAGAGTTGGTGCTGGAACTTTCTGGAAGTCAGAAGGGCAGTGAAGGCAGGCATTTGTTTTTCTTAATGGAGAAAGAAGTTTATATTGTCTACTTTATTTCACATTGAACAAAAATTGGAGCTCTATAAAATACTTTTTCTACATATTCTGTTACATATAATCTGAAAACATATAAACTTACAGTACCAAAACTTTTTGAGAAATACATATTCTTACGTAGATTACTGGAAAGATGCAGGGTCACAAGTATATGTCTAGTCAGGAATATGTCTGACATAAAAGATCTCAAATGAAAATTTGAATTTTTTGGTTGTTTTATGATTTCTTCCATCTAAAAGCTCCTTCAAGATACATATTTTAAAAAATCCTACTGATCAGAATCCTGCTCATCCACAGCAATTTTATTCACTGCTGGAGATGAGCTATCTGGGATGATTAGTAATTGTACCGTTTTTGAATTTAGATGAAAGGTATTGAAGTCACTCTTTGATATGAAATTTGATTAGGTTTGAATACTACTTTACATTAAGCTTGAACATTGGACAAGTGGGCACAACGTCAGCTGTTTCTCTGAGTGTAGAAGCATGATGGTCAAAAGGTCACCACTCAGCCTCCCATTCTCACTCGATGTTTCTTTAGTTGACAACTGGACAATAACAGAAAGGAACAACTATGGCAGCTTGTTTCCTGTGTGTATCGATTTTTAAAAAGATTCTCTTGAGCATTTAATTACTTTATGGTTAATGTTATTAATATTAAATGGACACTGTTTTCAGCAAATGATCTGCTTAGGGAGGCAAAAGGCAAAGACAATTTAATAATTGAGACCTCGATTTGAAATTACCAGTCACGTGAAATTACCAGACACGTGGAGAAATGGAAAAGAAACTACACCACCTCGTCCTAATTTT